AATCTGAAAAGCAGCCTCCCCATGTTTAATTCTGACTCTGGGCACTAACAGGAGTCCAGTCCCTGTGCTCCTCAGAGTCCGGGCTGGTTCATATGGGACTAACATGTCACTAATATATTTTGGTGCAAGGCCATGGAGAGACTTGTACATAAGCAGAGCTGTTTTAAAGTCTATTTTCTGAGCCACAGGAAGCCAGTGCAGAGACCTGAGGACCGGACTAATATAGTCGTACTTCCTGGTTCTAGTCAGGACTCGAGCTGCTGCATTTTGAATGTACTGCAGCTGTTTTACAGCCTGTTTGGACAGACCTGTGAGCAGGCCATTGCAGTAGTCTAACCTACTGGAGACAAATGCATGGATAAGAATCTCCAAGTCTGCTTTAGACACTATGTTTTTGATCCTGGCAATGTTTTTTAGATGGTAAAAAGCTGCTGATGTTACTGATTTGATGTGGCTATTAAAATTTAAGTCTGAGTCCAGTATTACCCCTAGATTTCTGACCTTGTTTGAAGGTTTTAGGGAGAGAGACTGTAGATGACAGATGACGCTCTCTCTTTGTTTCTGGGGACCAAAGACAATCATTTCAGTTTTGTCTGCGTTTAGCTGAAGGAAGTTGTTTTTTATCCACTCACTGATCTGTTGGATACAGTGAAGGAGTGAGTCCACTGGTCCATGTTCTCCTGCAGTCAGTGAGACATAGATCTGAGTGTCGTCTGCATAGTTGTGATAGGACACTTTCTTTCTGCGTATTAACTGACTTAAGGAGGGGATCGATGATTGGTGGTCTGCCAATCTGTCAGGCTTTCTTCTATTCTACTGAGCCAGACTGAGAGACCATTTAAAATCTCAGCTACACTAATGACAGGGTGACACTTTGAGCCAAAAATAAAGCCCTTTTTCACAATATTGTAAGATTCAGAATTTGAATAATAAATAATAAAACAAACATACCTGACTTCGCATGCCATAAGTCCTTAACCTTTATTGGTTTCACATTTAAAATTGTATTACAGAAATTAAGTTGGTTTTATTTTGTGCATAAAGTTTCACTTGTATACACATTATAACTTGTGTGGAAACGGTGCAGACCCGAGGGCTAAATCTGTCCCAAGACTGTGCACGAGGAGCAGTGAAACCCAAGCCTCTTCGGCCTGTGGAGCTTTACCACCACTGGGGCAGACGGGGTCACCCTACAGAGAGCCCGCTTTCCCACGCTCCACACTTACTGCTGGCTGGATTGGCAATTTATCTAAGCATTGCAATGAATTTGATATACATTTTTAGTCTATAACATTAAGCCCAAAATCATACCACGTGTATTTATTAAGGCTGTCAATCTATTTGTGTTGGCAACTCATGTTTTTTTTAACCTTCCATTATAACATTGACTGTAACATTTTCAGGGCTCAGATAAAATGTGTTTAATGTAATATAGTGTAATACTAACTCTATGAAGATGTTCTCCAGGGGCATCAATAATAATCTGCCAAATAATCAATTATCAAAATAATTGTTAGTCACAGCCATGAAAATATGGCTGAAAATTCCTCTGCTCTTCTCTTTATGACATAGCTGCTTTTCCAAACAGCAGGAAGCCAATGGCAGGATTCTGGGAGCATACGTGACCTCATTATGGGCCATATGTGCTGGTGGGTCTATGCCATGTTGCCTCCTCAATTATCAGGGTTAAACGTGAAACTGGAGCCTCCACACCCGGGGCTCCAGTCTGCTGCTCTGGCTCTGCTCCCGTCTGCCTGTGCCCCTTATCGTGCAGAGTATGGATGAGAAATGAAGTCTGTATCAATTTAACGCCATGGACAACATTGTGTTACCGTACGTCTCCCAGTTATAGAGGTGAAATGCATCACTGTTGGTTACAAATGGGGATCCTCAGAGAAATGGTGCCTCAAATGGGAGAGAGAGACTTAAAGCTGGGGTACCTTTCATCCCATAAATAACACATATTGCTTGTTCAAAATAGAATGAGTCTTGTTAAAGTCAGACAAACAAACCAGACCTCAGGCCAGACCTTGGACCTGGGGGTCTCGGGCCTCTCTGGGTGCTGTGTCATCCCCTGTGGCTGCAGGCGGGTCTCTGCTCCTGATGTAGATGGCTCCTTGGATGGCGCTTCTTCAGCTGGATACATCTGCACCCAGCCTTATATATCTTTTCATGGTTTTACTTATTTTATCTATCTGATGTGACACTGTTGGGTGGTGGTGGGGTTAACGGGTTATGGGCATGCAGGTTTGTACTGTCAAGCACTTTGTGTTTTACAAATAACATTTGAGTAATTTTAAGACAGATTAATCACTGGAAAAACGTTTTAGTTTTATTTTAGTTTAGTTTAGTTTATTCACAATTCACACAGTCCATAAAAGTACATGTGCTACATTGTGAAAATGGAACTCGCAGAAGCTTATACATTAGGGGTCCATCTCACCACCACCATTTCATTTTCAATGGGAAATGAAAGCAATTACAGTAAAAGTTTGGTCAAACAGAATTTGAAATGCATAAATGATAAAATACATCATGTATATTTTTGTTTATGAAGTTTAATCCCAGTGCTGAATATTTCACTTATATTGAAATGGTAGAAAGCGGAAAACTTTGCACATCCGACTCCGTAGGGAACATTTATTTTTATTTTTGTGAAACTACAACTCCATCTACATCAGTAATATACTTTCATATTCCACAACAAAATACATTTCTCTTTACTATAAAGAAACATTTATATGTGCTAAACATTTACATAAAGGGAAGTTTGTACAGTTGGTGCCATATTCCGAAAGATGGCGATGGATTTAATTTTATTTTTCTTTATTATTCTGGGCATTAAATACTAAAATTGACTTATGGTGGCCTCTCATGGAAGCATCTGCTTCTAAACTAATACAAAGAGAGAACATGTATAATAATAATGATCTAGCGATGATCTAAAGTGGTAAATAGCTCCCTCTGGCGGCAGATGGGGGGAGTGACATGCTGGAAACTTCAACAGCAATGATACCACACTTGTAATTGAGCCTGGTTGTAAAGATAGTCATGTGACCAAGCAAATGGTCAGAACTCAATCTAAATAAATACTTGTTTTAAAAGGCAGACATTATGTAGTAAAGCAACATGACCGAATCAAGCATAAGGGGCAGGTGACCACTGTCCATAAATGTTGATAACAACGTTAATGTTGTTGAATGTCGAGTGTCCTGGTACTTTGTCCCTCTTTTATCAGCAACAAAAAGCTCAGTGGGAAAAGTGAGAAACCTCGGGGAGGCCCACATTGAAAGAGAGATCGATCCAGGACTTGGATGTAGAGGGCAAACGATGCAGGACTGAGGCTGTAGAACTGTAGTTTTTGATGATCTTAATACTGAACATATAAGAGTATTGCTTCATGGAACTCGATTGTTTCTTTTGGTCTGGTTTGGGGCTGTGGGATTTGTAACATGGAACTTGGATCTTGTAGCCACTGTATTTTTCAACTTTCTTATTTTTGTTGTTACAGCTGTAGTAATTATATCATGTTTTATTTAGTCCGTAAGTCAGTAAGAATAATGATTTTGACCCAAATGTTGTGCTCAGTGCTTGAATCTGGTTCGTCTCGTGTAGCTGGGGTCAAGCGCTTGTACCCTGACATCCTGAGCCCGCCCTCAAAGAAACTTCTCCCCCACTGAGCTATCAATCAAACACAGCCTGAGGAGCAGCACAGAGGCAGGACATGGGCTCTAAAGTGGATTTCCTCTTTGCGTGGGATCAGTCAGAGAGATAAGGACGCCGAAGAAGCAGAGACGGAGTCAAACTGCGCTACAAGTCAAAACAAACATGAAGTTATGCTGGCTGTAAAAATAATCCTCAACTAGGCCTGGGGTATGATTATTGGTTATGTCTAGTGATGGCTTTCTTTGCAAATAGAACCAAAATAAATACTTCAAAAATCTTTGTTTGCACCACCCCTGTCTGTGTGTGTCATCCTCGGTTTTTCAGAGCTAGAAAAAAGGAGAAATGGAAGCAAGTGTTTTATCAAGGAGGAAATTGTTTTACATCTTGGTTAAAAATATAATTTTGACAGTAACACATACCTACCAGTGCAAAAAATGATGGGATTATTGGGTTAGTTTCTTTCCATTTACAGACCTGTATCAATACCTGCTTGTTAGTGTTGCCATTTGTTGTTAGAAGCTAAGCAGTGCACTGCCTGGTGAATACTGGGATGGAAGACTCTTGGGAGCAGTCGTAGTCACAATGGGATGGCTGAGGCTGTAAAGTATCAAACTCTTGACCTGTGAAAACTGCAAAAAATTATAAGATATGGAGCACAAACTATTGAAGATGTTAGTTTGATTATCAAGCTATCAGACTATCATACCTTCAACTTTTATCATTTGATTCTTCCTTTCTCATATTTTTCTTTTCCTAAACAGTTGTTTATTGTCAAAAAAAAAGTTTTGTGAGTTTGATTCATGCATGTAGTAATATTTATAGTGGTTACTGGAGGCAATTTGGAAAAAGGAAGAATGTTCTATATTTGGCACAGCCTGAAATTAGTGCATTTGCCACGCCCCCACTGCCAACCAATGAACAGGGCATTTGTTTAGACAACTCCGGCCTGACTGAGAACGGGCTGTATTAGCCTGTTAGGTTGTTTAGTCATTATTTGAAGGGACAATGTTCAGAGACATTAAGCTCGAAGACCGATATGTTATGCACCTTATTATAACTAAACAGCTAGTTTCCATCATCAAGATGTTGCATCATCAAGTTTGAGAAGTAATGGACAAGTTGACTACATTTATAAAGAACATGATATCCCTGCGACCAAATTGGAGCCAATAGTTTTGTTTTAAAAAACATAATTCTTCATTATTTTAAATTATCTTACACATCTAAGTGTACTGGTGCTCAGTGTTCTGGGTGCAGCTCTGACTGGAAAATGGATGGATGGATGGATATCTTTGACATCCATTTCTCAAACCTTGTCTCCGTCCTGTGTGCAGGTTCTACCGCGGCGACTACCACATGGACGTGTGTATTAACGACTACATGGACATCTTCTGCCCGCATTACCTCAGCCCCATGGCCACGGAGCGAGCCGAGCGCTACATCCTTTACATGGTCAACTATGATGGCTACACCTCCTGCGACCACACGGGAAAAGGCTTCAAGCGCTGGGAGTGCAACCGGCCCCTCTCCCCCAACGGCCCGCTCAAGTTCTCAGAGAAGTTCCAGCTCTTCACGCCCTTCTCGTTGGGATTCGAGTTCCGCCCAGGCCGCGAGTACTACTACATCTGTGAGTATGGAATAAGGCTAGGGCACCTGGTTTCACTACTGCCAACAGAAACACACTTAAACTGGACAAACTTGCTCTCACAGTTATTGAATGAACAATAGTGACTATATCACTATTGTGACAGACTTTGTTCAGTCTTGATTCAGACCTGGTTCAGCTCTTTCCTGGTGTTTGAATGTGAAACATGTGACATTTTAGATTACTTGCATTTTCTATGATGAATCTGCAAACCATGACCTCATGAACAGAGCTTGTTCTTTAAACGTGTCTTCAATTAGGACCATGTTATATCTCAATCCCACCAAATGCATTTCTCTCTTCTATCACTAGATACTTCCAGTCATTCATTTTCCATGTTAACTCTATGTTTGTCCACATAATGAGACGTCATATTAAGGGCCAAAGGGATCTTTCTTACAGATTTGTGCTGACGGAATCCTTCAGTAATGTTCATGTGATGTGTCCACAGCTCCGGTCACTGACGAAATGAGAAGACGAAGCTGCCTCCGCCTCAAAGTCTTTGTGAGGCATGCAGGTAATGCAGTTATGAGCAGCTTATGTGTTTGTGTCTGAAAACACTACGCCAGCATCTTTGTCAATGACAAAGGCTGTTGTACTCAAAAACTGTTTACACAGAAAATAGTCTTATGTCAGCAGAAATAAATGAACAGCCTGATACATTGTTTCATCAGCCAATTATATCTCAATCGGCCAACTTTGGTATTTTTATTCATGTTTTTGTGTGTTATTTTGCATGGATTCTTGTGCAGTTTGTGGCGAGATCATAGAAATACAACAATAGCCTAAAACTCTCCCATAGTTCACACACAGACAGTAGAAGCAGTGGACTAACCCAGTGCTGACGTCACTCATAGTGTTTGTCTTTTTGCAAAGACTAAAAGAGGTTCTTTACACAGAAATCTCGAGCCAAATGTTTGCAAATTTGTTGCAAAAAACAACTGAGAAATCAAAAGCCATCATGTATACAGTCTATGAGTGTGACTCACTAACTATCTGCTTTGTGTCCAGATAACTGTGAGCGCACCCAGGGCTCAGTGCTGGAGGTGGAGAGTGACCAGAGCAACTTCCTGGAGCCCAGAGGTCAGTGTCCCTTCACTCAAACTGTGTTGACTCTTCAATGTTGTAGTTATGAATGAATGAATATTGACAACCATGTATGGCAGTAGTGTTTGGGAAAAAAAATTGCAAACACATGTACTAGTTGAGGTTTAAAGCTGGGGTACTTAACTTAAAAATATACATTTTCAAATAATAGAATATAAACCAGGGATTAAAGAGTTCCGTCTAGGTGACGGATTTCCGTCAAATGAAATTGGTCTCTAAAAAAAAAAATATATATATATATATATATAATGATAATAATACACACAATGAAATGATTGATTATAAAAATAATATATAGTAATACATATACGTGTGAATCTGTTATATATATATATATCGATGTATAATAATAATTTGAATATAATTGTATTTATATGTATATAGAAATAATAAGTAATATAATGACGAGTGGGCCTTGAACGTGCCGTGGCCACATGAGCGCTCCGCAAATGAATCAAGGCAATGGGACGTAGCTGAGCTCACGCGCAAATGAAGACGCGATGAAGTTAGCATTGGTAACACGGAGGGGAAAGTTTCTGGAAACTGCACGGAGCTTTTGAAAAGGAGAAGAGGAGGAAAATTGAATCTCGAACGGAGCAATAACAGCAGCAGATCCGCGGACTGGTAAGCTGGGCGCGTAATAGACGAAAGGTAATTAACGTTTACCAAACGCAATGCTATTTTACTTAACGGAATGTACAAAACGGACTTTGCTGCAACTGGGAATGGGGACAAACATGTCTTGGTGAGCTTTTGATATTGTCTTGTTTGCGATCTTCTTGCAAAACTCAGCGTGATGTAAAAGAGCCAATCAATGAGTCATGGTGCGAAAAGATGAAAGTGGCCGGTGCTTGTGCGTACTTTGCCATAAAAAATTGCATATATGGGAGCAGGGCTGGACTGGCCATCGGGCGTACCGGGCAATGCCAGAAGGGCCGATACCCATATTTGGGCCGGTCTGTTTGCCTCATACAGAAAAGATGTTTGTGAAAAGTGTTGCCTGGCCTGCCAAACGATATGCTTTTTCAAAGACATATAGTCTGGGAACGAGCTTGATCTCAGCGAATTCCCGGTGGGCGTGGTTGACAGACTGCATCAACCAATTAGATGCACACAGGATATGACGCAGCAACTAGCGGCACCCAAGCCGTTTCAGTAAACACAAAACAAGGGATGGCGACATGTCAGCTAGTGCAAATGTAAACAACTGCTGTCGATTTTGTAACAAAAACTTAAAGATACGAGGAGTTATTAGCAACTCAAAGGTGAAAGGAAGTCCCGCCTCTCGGTGCGTGATTGGACCGATGTGGGTAAAATCGTGAAATGATAGGCTAGGAAGAGGTGTCCAGACGGTTCTTCTTTTGAACAGAAAGGAGGAGTGTCTGGCAGGCCAGGCAATGAAAAGTGTAAATCCGTTGAGAACTGTTCGAGGGGGCGCGCGTGTCCGCGGGGCACCTGCTGTATGTACTGGAACGGGATTCCACCACCTCAGCGGCCGCAGTGTTCCGGCATCCAGCGGCTCTGAGCTGGACGCGGGAACCGCTCACCGGGAGCCGCTCACAACACAACACGGTGAGCGCGTAGCCGCAACGTGACCATGTACCCAAGACCATAAACGCGCACAGGACCATGCGTGTCTTTGCGTAATTTGTGCACCCAATAAATACACCGCTGCAGGAAACAGTCCACGTCTCCCTCTCCTCTCGAAGTGCGACTAAATTAAAGCTCGGGTGCCTAAATTTCCCATTGCATTAAAAGTTCATGTTTGAACCCAAAAGTAAAATGTTGTGAAAAAATTAAACAGATTTAGAGCCAGCCAATGGCTGACATTATGCATTTCAGACTTTTTTGACCAATTCTCATCCCTGTAACAAACAACAGTGTTGTCTGTGCCCACCTCCCTCACTCTGAGACATGTTTATTACTCTGTTTAATGTAGACTATTGTACTTTATTTTATTGATGAAACTGTAGACATCCTGATCCTCTACAGTATAAACCAGGGGTCGGCAACCTTTAGTGCTCCTCCAGTGGCTCCTGGAGCCTTTTCAAAAATGTCTGAAAATGGAGTGGGAGGGCTATATTTTATTCCTAATTTGAATGTGGTTTCTGTAGGAGGAAAAACATTCCTAACGTATTTCAATGCTGTAAAAATGTGTATAAGTAATATTCAATTTCAACATTTCTGTCAACGTAGTGAGTCATATCCTGTGGCGCGGCCCCGCGGCAGACGGCCGCTGCTGTAAACAAACCGGCGTGTGCGCACGGATCCCAAAGATAAAAAGAGAACGAGTCGATAATAAGACTGGACTAAGAACAAGACTGAACATTTGCTTTTAGTCAATGAGGAAGGACTGCTTCATGTTTGCGATGTAATAGGAAGTTTTGTTGCAACACGAGGAACAATGAAGCACTAAATACCGTTCACAGGGATTACGTGAAGGATTCTTTCATACAAAATCCGGAGCACCTTTTTCAGACTTCAAAAACCTCCGCAACGACTGTGAAAGAAAAGGCCATTAAGGACATTCAGCTCCAGAAAACTTCAGCCTGTGACGTGATCGATATGAGCGGACAGTGCAGGTGTGTGACCTTTGAGCCAAAAAGCAGATTTATTTACTGTATTTCTACAATTGCATGAAGGCAAAAAAATGGAAGTCAAAGTTAAAGCAGAGTCATCACGTGGTGCGTCATTCTCTCCAGGACACGCTGCAATGAAAACACACATTTGACAATCATGAATGCTAATCATGTATTTGTAGCCTTTACTTGGTCATTTAGATAATAGGCTAATGTAGCTAATGTAGCTACATTGTGTAACCTTCATATAAGCTTTATACAAGGCTGTTATTTTTTTGCGGCTCCAGACAGATGTTTTTAGTATTTTTTGTCAAATATGGCTCTTTGAACCTTTTGAGTTGCCGATCCCTGGTATAAACAAATTGTAAAAAACGTGACAAAAACATGCCTGGGCCGGTAAGAAGGAAAAAATGCCCGGGCCGTTTTTTTGTCCCAGTCCAGCCCTGTATGGGAGTAATGAGAAAAAAGTTTTGATTCGCCACCAGCTCAAAACTGCGCACAAGGCAGCTGTTTGTGCACTTTCCCACACTTCATCTTTACCTGGTGCATCAGCAACAACTGACACTAGGCTTGCTATGGCAGACCGTGTCTGTGGCTTTATCGCAGAAAATAACGTTCAGAATATCACTACCGCTGGTAGATTTATTTAGTAAGTAAGTAAGTAAGTAATGTTTATTTATATACCGCCTTTCACAGACAAGGGTCACAAAGCGGTTTACAATTGTTATTATTTTTTTGGGCACTTGTCCTCTCACTCCAGACAGAGATGGGAGCGGGGTCGCCGAACAGAAGGCGCATGCCAGACCTATTGTACATATTTTTAGTGGTAGGGGAAACCGGAGTACCCGGAGGAAACCTTTAAATCATTTGCAGTTGATCGAAGTGCACTGTGCACTCAAACTTGATAGGGAAACCTTTTTCTTAAATATTGACGTGTCCACAAACAAATGTGGACAGAATTTTATCGTCCTTTTGCAATATTTTGACGAGGACAGAGCCAAAGTGTTGACGCTCCATATCGCCTCAAGTAAAGCTACTCTCACTAATATTCTGTCAAAAAGTTTACTCGTTGCTTGATCCACTTATATTTCATATCAAAATACACTGTATATCTTTGAAGAATTCATTTGAGCTGTATTCAATATACAATCTATTATACAATAATATATTGTAATAAAAAATATAACTTGGTCCTGCATATTACTGTGATTTACATGTGATAAATTTCCATGCAAAAATGTTCAGTCAAATCCTTTTTTTTTGCTTTAACCCCTGATATAAACAGACATCGACCAAATCAGACATATTTTGCAAAAGAGAGCATAGATAACAATATTGAAAAGAAATATTGTAAGAAATTTCTATTTTATAAGAAAAATAAAATAAAGTAAAACAAAACAGAGTAACCCACAATGTCTTCTCCATGACATATTTTTCTAATAAGCTTAAAGGCTGCATGTTGTACCGAGGATAAAGAACCTCATCCACAACTACCGCATAACACTCAAAGCTGTTGATGTTCATAGATGCTCATAGATGTTAAAGAAGAAATACTTAACCTCTGGGAACACCTGATGCCACAGTGGGGCGGCTGCGGCTGTAAAGTGCCAAACTGTTGTTGTGCCCCAGGGCAGCTGTGGCTACAGTAGTAGTTAATCACCACTGTGTATCGAGTGAATGAATAATGACATGTAAAGCGTCTTTGAGTGTCCAAAAAAGCGCTATACAAAACCGCATTGTTTAATAATTGTTATTATTAAACAATGGAAAACATGTTTATATTTGACAATATAAATGACTTCACACATTCGAAAATAATGAGTGCAAAAAATAAGTGTGTTTATCATTGATATCATTAATCTCCACAATATGGCCAAAAAAAAATCAAAAATGGTGCCTGGGTGTGTAAACAGTGATACACAAATGTATATTCAGAGTTGAACCCACAAAAAGAATACCAATTGTGCATTTGTATCTTTGTCCAGAGTGGATGCATAGATGTACATATGTGATGATGGTAACTTCATTTATGATTATGTGTTTAATTCCAGATGGCACCAGCCACGAGCCCCCGGAACCGTCTCGCCACGACTTCAACGCCTCTCACCGAGTCTCCACCCACTCGCTACTTATAAGCTTCGCCATCTTCCTTCTTGCCGCCATCTTGTCATCATAGCGCAATCCCTCTGGGCCGGGAAAACAGAACTGTCCCTCAACCCATCTCCCCCTTTTCCGGAGCACTTTTCTAAGAAAATAGATAATAACACAAACACACACATGCAGACACACACACACACACACACACATGCGCACACACAGAGTCGAAGAAAACAAAGAGAAAAACTGGACTTCTACGATGAAGCGGTTAAAAAATAAAAAATTAATTGTTTTTGTAGCGATGGAAGTGACTGGTCGCTGGTAGCATTCTAAGTACTTTTCTATATTAAACCACTTGTCACAATCACTCATTTTTACAGACTAAGAAGCGCACTAATATCTCTGGAAGTTTACAGACTTTTAACAACGTCTCACTTTTGTTTTTTTAACACTGAGAGCTGAGACGGTTTGGACACGCTGGGAGGACTATGGTTGGACTAAACTCAGGGTCCAGTCTGCAGGAAACTGGCAGTCCCTGCGTTGTACAGTAAAGGGTAGAATGTTGTGTTTTTTTTTATTTATTGTGATGTGCCATTTCTGTTCAAACACATAGGAATGCAATAAGAGTGATACTGTGTATGTCACGTGTTACCACAGGCCCCAACGGGAGAAGTGGGTGCAGTGTCTGGGCGCGCCCCCTACTGATCACGTTGGATTGCTGCAGGCAAAAGTGCAGGGGTGAAAAGCATTTTGTTGTGGTTGTATATAATGTATTGTGTGTAATGGTGGATAAAGTGCTCAATTTTGTTACTTATAAATACATGCAAGAGAAAAAAAAAAATACTTTGAAGTATCAATATGTGACATTCCATCACATTCCACTAAATCTTTTAACTACAAAAATAACGGTGTGTCATCAGGGTTTGATAGTCACAGGTCCATATGGAAACTATTTGGGAGCAAGCTTTCTTCTATAGTGTTTGTCCTTATACAAAACTGTGACTTTTTTGTTTCCTTTGGCACTATATACAATTTAGAACTTTTTGTACTCATTACTTTAAGAACAGCTTCGCTCAAACACTGCAATTGTTAGATTGGGGTTAGAAGACATATTGTAATAACATGTAATTAAGCTGTTTGATTAAATGTTGTTTCTCGGTCATACAAACCATGTTAACATCCCTCATGTTTTTGACAAATCCGAAACTAATATCAGGAACTTTTGGTAACTCCGCCCTCTCTGTCTAAAAGCTCCTGTCTCTCTATTACTATGATGTCATCACGCAAAGCAGTTTAATAGCTTTTAAAACAAAGGTATTGTCCATAAATTAGTTTTTGTATCATTTGTCAAGTGAGATAATAATCTTTACAGTCTGTTTGCAGCCAGTAATTTTCAAATTTGGAAAAAAATCAAATTCAACTTTTGCCTCTTGTGGTAACATAGGGATAGGGTAGGCTCATAGCAGCTCTTGTTTCACCATGGATTTTCTAAACCATGGCATGTAGAAAGTAGAAAGTGTCATTGCCGTTTTAGTGGCAAAAAACAATGCATAATATTTCTCGTCCCTCTGTGACAAAACTTATTTAGTATGAAGATGTATGAAAACTCATTCACTGTAAAAATTAAAAAGATATTTCAAAATACAAAAAGTACATAAACATAATGCCTGTTATCGCAGTCTTCTCAACGCAGGCGGAGCAAGGGGTAGATTGGGGTTAGTTGATCCTCATCAGGAAAGTTGCGCAGTGCACCTTTTAGGCTAAAACATTATTTTTTTATCCACCCCTCCCGCTGGTGGTAGTGAAGGGATAGGGCGGGTTGATTGTTTAATCTTGATACTTGTTTTGCTGTATCCTTAACAGTATTCAGTCTCGCAGTTTCGCTTTACTCCTTGCTCCTTTATGTAACGTCAGCGTAAACTTGATAAAAAGTATAAAAGTAAGCAATTCACCAAAGGCTTGCGCAAGACTGGCAAATCCTCCCTGTATCACAGATAAAGAAATATTACAAAAGTCAAGTAGAGGACGAGTCATGGTGGTCACGAGATATTTTTGGGGGAATATAAATGGTTCTGAGCGGAGTGTGGGGGATTATCAGTAAAAAGAAAACAAAATGTCTGTTTCTTTCTACTTTTGCTGTGGTCAAACGGCCTCAGTTTGTGGTCAATGACCTGTCGCTGCATCCACTTCTCCTCGGGTCATTCTTCTTATACATGTTTATTACAATCACTTTATTGAGAAAATATTAATGGATTTTGCCTGTCTTTCATTTTTATGAACAGAAGAGAAGCGTATCAGGGAACGAGACCGTATTGTGTTATTGTAACGAACCTCACTGACATAGCTTGAATATAGTGGATGCTGTATAATGATAATATTGTGTACTTGTTGTTGGAGCACTGTCATAACACACTGTTGTACATAAAGTTTCTACTGTTTCAGGGATGTGACCAGAACATGTTTCTGTGTTTTTTTTAAAATTTGTATCAGAGGAGTGGGGATACAAAGATTATTTGCGTCACAACCAGAATACATTGATAAAGATAAACTTCAGTCAAAAGAACATACATTTCAAAACACAATTGCGCTTAAATAAATTAGTCTGTTTTGCAATAATGACAATAATCTTTATTAAAGATAATACAGAATTTATATCATACTAACATCAACATGTTTTAACTTATTAATGTAGGTAGATAATGTTGTTTTTAGGTTCTCATTTAAAAGTAACATATGTAACTTTTACTCACTTATAACAGTGTTCCTCATCACATGTATGTGATATATATATGTGTGTATGTGTGATATATGTGTGTATATATATATATATGTGTATATATATATATTTGTATATATATGTATATATATATATATGTATATATATATATATATATATGTATATATATATATATGTATATATATATATATATATATATATATGTATATATATATATATGTATATATATATATATATATATATATGTATATATATGTATATGTATATATATATGTATATATATATATATGTATATATATATATATATATGTATATATATGTATATAATATATGTATATATATATATATGTATATATATATATACATATATATATGTATATATATAATATATATATATATATATATATATATATATATATATATATATATATGATATATGATATATGATATAATATATATATATATATATATATATATGATATATAATATCATATATATATATTAGACCCAAGGTCTCGGTTGTGCAAAGAGGCACCTGAGACGATCCAACACATAACTGCAGGGTGCAAGATGCTGGCAGGGAAGGCCTACATGGAACGCCATAACCAAGTGGCTGGCATAGTGTACAGAAACATCTGTGGAGAGTATGGGCTGGAAACCCCAAGGTTTAAGTGGGAAACTCCTCCAAAGGTGGTGGAGAATGAGCGTGCAAAGATCCTGTGGGATTTCCAGGTACAGACCGACCGAATGGTAATGGCGAACCAACCTGACATCGTGGTGGTAGACAAAGGGCAGAGGACAGCCGTGGTGGTGGACGTGGCAATTCCAAGCGATGGTAACATCCGGAAAAAGGAACATGAAAAGCTTGAGAAATACCAAGGTCTCAGAGAGGAGCTGGAGAGGGCCTGGAGGGTAAAGGTGACAGTAGTGCCCGTGGTGATCGGTGCACTCGGGGCAGTGACCCCGAAGCTAGAAGAGTGGTTACAGTGGATCCCCGGAACAACCTCGGACATCTCGGTCCAGAAATGTGCAGTGTTGGAACAGCAAAGATACTGCGCAGAACCCTCAAGCTCCCTGGCCTCTGGTAGAGGACCCGAGCTTAGAGAGGGATAACCGCCCGCGGAGGGCCAAAGGTGAGTGGACAATTTTTTTTATATATATACATATATATTATATATACATATATAATATATATTGTATATACATATATATATATATATATATATGTATATATACCCAGAAATGGATTAAGCGGTAGAAGATGGATGGATGGATGAATTTATTTTGAATTCAATTCATTCTATCATGACGTATACAGTAACTCAAAGGCAAGTTTTGCATAAAATAAAGGATGTGCGCCATCCACTGATCCCGCGCAGAAGAGTCTTTTTGTTGCAGCAAAAGGTTGTCTTTTATCGACAGCAAACTTGAAACTTCCTTTGAATATCCACATCCTGTCTTTCAATCAAAACTTTAATCAAGTCTTTTTGACAAAACTATAGACAATGTGTCAGTTCCGTCAACAGTGTTACATTTAAGACAAAGGAGGGAGTCATAATATCAAATAATGTATATGAGTAATGTTTAGCAGTATTGCTTTTGTCAGCATGGATAAAATTAACAACAAGGGATTAAAAACTAAAAAAGACTATGCGTATAGTCGTTGAAGAATGTATAAGTCATTTGTAAAAAAAATAACAAATAAAAAGGTTAGTTGTAGTCAGACTTTAGAAATTACCTTAGCTATTGCGGAATATACAGACATGTATATATATATATATATATATATATATATATATATATATATATATACAGACTACTGTAAATAGTTCGACATTTTTGTTGCACATTTCAGAAAGTGAAGAAATGTAATGTCAATTATGAATGTGATGGACCTTAATAAAATAACAGTATTTCTCTATGAAAGGGCTGACAATTATCTCTGGATAATATTCATATTTGGAATAATATTTAACATTTGAAAACGTTGCATAAAATGGGAGAAAGCCGAATGAAAAGAATGAGCCTGTTATGGTAGCAAAGAGCACAGTTGCTCACTAGAATATATGACTATAAAACTTTCTTCTGTATTTGTGCGACTGGATATGAGCTTGTGGTCCTGGTTAACACGCCTTTGGATCTGTTGGAAAAAATAGTCTTCAAAATCTTAGGTTTCTCATGCAAAGGATTTTATGGTTGACCTCAAAAAAGCACACACGTGAATGGGACAATGCCTCAGGTCTGAGCTGGACGTTAATGGACTTACATCACCAAGACCCTTCATTCAAACGGACAAAAACATGTTGGATGGAAAATGCATGTCTGGCTGAAGCCAATTTGTT